ACTTGGGACACTAACCCCTACCTACTAGTGGCGAAATCAAAACTCTACTTAATCGTCCAATCCAATCATTTCCACACTTCCCATAGAACGATGAATCCTGAAACGAATAGTCTCCGCAGAATCACCCTCCTGGCGTGGAGTAATCGAACTTCAGAAGAATCTGAATCCCAACTGACACTTCTGCATCTCCCACTCACGATTACCGGCCCTGGAATAGTGATTCTATATCCTACCCTCCCATTCTCAAACATCCCTGAATCCTAACCGTCTACGACTTCTTGATACTAAACTCCTCAAACTCTCCTATGCCATATGTATAAAGGGATGGAAAATTTACAATAGAATTATAAACAATAAGATACAGATAGAAACATACCAGTAGCTGTATCTGGCGCTGTCCTGACCTCCTCTGCTATAAGCTGGAAGGCACGTCCCTGAGCACTCTGGGGCTCTACTCTACCCTGACCCCCGCCAGTAATCCTCAATGTATGGACAGTTGGTCTTCACGTGACCAACCTGATGGCAGTGATAGCAAATCCTCATGTCCTGAACCGGGGCCACCTGGCAACAATCCCTCGCATAGTGCCCCTCCTTTCCGCACTTGCGGCACGCACCCCCGGACCTACAAACTCCGGAATGACCCTTCCCACACTTCTCACAAGTGCGGCCGCTCTGTCCTCCAACCCTGGAATCAGCGGTCTTGGACCGCTTTGGCGCCAGCTGCGACTGCACCGGGGCCTGCCTCTGCTCCCGCAACTGTAACTCAATCTCTAACTCACACCGCCTGGCGGCCTCCTATAGCTCCAACAACGTATCACACCGCTGGGTAGCAACGAACTGTCTGATGTCAGTCTTAAGCATGCTCAGATAACGTGTCATTTGAGCCTGCTCGGAAGCAAATTCCGGGCAAAACATTGCCCTCTCAGTGAACATACGGGTGATCTCCGTCACCGACTCTGTATCCTGTCTCAACTCCAAAAACTCCTGAGCTAGCCGCTCACGCTCGACTCGTGGAATGTAGCGGGAGCGGAACATATCCCTGAACTGCTCCCATGTAACAGCAGCTCTCTGCTCATCCGAATACGACCCAGTCATCAGACTCCACCAGTCCTTTGCCCCAGACCTCAGCAGGTTTAGGGCACATCTGACCTTCTGGTCAGTAGGACAGGAACATGTGAAGAAGCACCCCTCCATGTCAGATAACCACCTCATAGTCTTGATGGGATCCTGAATCCCATCGAAAGTAGGGGGCTTCGTGTTGTCAAAGTCCCGATACTAAATAGCCCGACTGACTCCCATCCCTGCTGACGATACAGCTGATGTGGCTACGGCGGCAGCCGCCTCAGTGAGGGCTGCGTATATGTCATCAAAGTCCTCCATCATAGCGGACTTAATAGTCCCAAACAACTCCGGAATCTGACCCCAGACAATCTCGACCACCTCCTCGCGGATGATCTCCCTGACCCGATCCTATGTCAACATCGGCTCCTCCTGGCCGATAATCTCAGGCGCCGATGGGGCCTCCTGATCACCCTGTTCGAACCCCGATCCAGATCCAGTCACGAAATGCCTCGTAACCACCATTATGAAATATAACAGGAAGATATCAGGCAATCCGCACAAATAATCGGGAACTAACTCCCTACCAAACCCTAGGGGTTGTGACTTCCTTGCTACGCGTATGGGTCCTGTGCTTTCAGTAGTACGGGCCCATACTACCTTCCACACCTACCCATATTTGTCTCAAGTATCACCACAACACCCTAACCTAATATATATCATAGCGTGCACTCAATCCTCACTCCTAGAGGAATGCTAAACTATCCCATAACTGGCCTTCTGGCCTCTCACTACCTACCCATCCACCAATTGCATGAATACAATCACATATCGCATGGCTTAAACAATCTGAGGCTAAATAATTTAATCCCACAACGGTTGGACTCAGACAAGAGCTGCGCAGCAGGACCAAATCCCTCACCCTAAGACCATTTAACCCATGTAGCATGTGACTTAGAGTATTCACCCAATAGTTAGTTCACACACGAAAGAGTTACAAACAATCAACTGAGGTACTCTACATAAGATAAGGCATCAAAGATCAGGCAATTCTATCATATGATTCCTGAGGATCCCTATCTTATTACTAGCATGTTGTTCTAACACATAAGATCAATAACTTGTATGGTATTTTGGGGTCTATTTACTGGCTCCGGCTGATCGTACACTTCGCATCCTCTTTTACTTATTTTGAAAACCATTTACGATCATTTTGAAAATCTTTCCTTGATTTCAGACTGGATTCACACGAATGTTCCTCCTGTTCACTCAAACCAAGGCTCTGATACCAACTTGTAACACCCATAAAACTCAAGCCAAATTTAAACTTTTAAAACATTCAAAATACTAAAAGTTATTACAAAAGGTTTTCCAAAATAGTTTAATATCAGAGTTCCCAAAAATCATAATCATAAACCGAGTAAGTGTACGGTCACGCCTTCGCCTTCCCGCGGTCAGCCGCTATACCTGAAACAATAATCGATAAATGTAAGCTTGAAGGCTTAGTGAGTTACCCCCAAAATACCAACCTCATATAACCTTAATCATATCAACAAATACAGAACAACCATGCATCTCGAGTCTACAGTGTGACTGGTCCGCCCGGACCGAGGCCTTCAGTCCACCTGGTCCACTCTCTGAGTCTACAGTCTGACTAGACCGCCCGCACCGGGCCTTCAGTCTATCTGGTCTACTCTCCGAGCCTCGGCACATCTGGCCCGCCCTCTCGGGGCCTTCAGCCTATCCGGACCGCTCGTCGGGCCTTCGGCCTGACTAAGTGTCGTCCCGGGTCTGCAGACTATCCGGTCCGCTGTGCGTATGTTGGCCTACAGCACGAAGCAGGACCCGCCTCAACCCAACCCCCAATAAACAACCATGTGCACATATAACAGATAATCACATAAAAGTCTATAGGCAAACAAACCGATCTAACAGATCATATAACATAGCAACATCCTATAACCAGGATACCGACCTAACCGGTCACTAATATAGCATCATCCTATATACCAGGATACCGACCTACCAGGTCACTGACATAGCATCATCCTATATATCAGAATACCGACCTAAACTAGGTCACTAAACACAATACCGTCCTAACTACCAGGACGCGGATCTAACAGATCAATAAACATATCATGCAATATACCCAGATACAAATCCGATAAAGGGCCGGCCTTGGTGCCGTAGACCCTGTTGATATAGTGAGGATAACTCACCTCGCAAGTTTCTCGGAAGGTGGTGTCAAAATCCTCCAATTGTAGCTCCAACTCCAACACCTATATTCACCAATGTCCTTTTCTATAAATATCCAATTTATCAAAATACCTTCAGAAGTCAACTGGTCAACCCTTGGTCAAAGTCAAAGTCAACTGTCAAGGTCAACAGTCCATGTTGACCTTAACTCCTCGAGTACCCTTAGGTACTCGCCGAGTTCCTTGCATAACTTGCCAACCCGCCGAGTCACTCGTGTGACTCGTCGAGTTCCTAGGGTCAGTGGTCGTAACTCCTTGGCCAACTCGCCGAGTTTTCCCTTTATAACTCGTCGCGTTCATACGTGTCCAAAGGTTGGGAAAACCCTCGCCGACTCGCCGAGTCACTCGACTGACTCGCCGAGCCCACGGCAACCTTCATCGGACTTGCCGAGTCGTTCATACAACTCGCCGAGTCTACGACAATCTTCATTGGACTAGCTGAGTCGTTCATACAACTCGCCGAGTCTCTTCAGTCCTTTATTCATACAGACGCTTTTAAGCCATGCTAAGGCTACAAATTGTAGATCCAGCTTGCCAATGCACGTTTATCACGTAAAGTTGCAACCTTTACGTGCATGCAAGGCTCTATAGGCTTAGAATGTCAATCTCAAGCTTACAATGGGGTTTATCTCAACATGGAGGGTTCATGCTTGCTAAAGCTGGAGACTTTATGGCTTTAGAGTCCAAGATGAGCTCAGATCTGAAGTTGAAACTTCAGATCCTAGCTCATACCCGAAAATGGTTATCACCCATGCTATAAAAGCCCTAATCTTCAATCATGAAGATATCTAGAAAGAACAAGGTCAAGGTAACAACTTGTTACCTTCAAATGATGCTAAACTGAGGTAGACTTCAGATCCACACAAGCTCCTTGTTGCTAGCTACTTGTTCTTCAAGTTCCTCTCTCTAAGAATCTTCTTCCAAGACTTGAAACACACAAATGGAGCGCACACACACACACGTATTAGGGTTTATGGGGTATCAAGGGGCTGTAAGGGGAGGCTGAAGAGGCCAAATGATCCCTTAAATAGGGTGAAAAACCCCGGAATTTAGGGTTTCATCCTCCAGTTCCTACTCGTCGAGTCCCTTCTTGGAATCGGCGAGTAGGTCACTTAAGTGCGCGACCTAACCCGCTGCTACTCGACGAGTCAGACAACCAACTCGTCGAGTAGACCTTGAATCCATAAGAATTTATCACCATAAATTGATACTCGAGAATCGGGGCGTTACAGTTTTTCTAGTAGTGCAATGAATATAATAATATATAACAACGTTTACACTTCTTCTTCAAATAAAATTTTAACTGATAATATACTAAATAATATCTAATTAATTCCGTTACATGATCTATAATCTTCTATTTATATCTTCCAAAAGCCAAAATCATCTTTGGGTTTCTTTTCGTACAAGGGTTCGTGTGACTTCTCCTCATAAATATAACCTTCTATTTACATATTCCAAAAGCCAAAATCATGACTTTTAAGTTTATCAATGTTAACATTCTCTTCTTTAATCATAACTTCGATACTAGTTGTTACGATCAAGACTCGGTAAACACACACCACACACGATAAAGATGTGAATAAAATTAAATAAAAAAGAATTAACATGGTTCAAACGATAAGAGCGATCAGAAAATCCACCAACAAAATATCATAGAATTTTATTAGATTTGTAGAAATACATCTACCATATATACACTTTCTGCTTAGGGTTACAAAAGGTACATAGAGATCTATTTATAATGATAAATTGGTCTAGCAGTTTGTGTTGGCCGGGGCCTAAACACCCAAGAAGTCATCATCTAATCTAGCCACCGGTCCGAACACGGCAAACTACTCATCGAACACGACAAACTACTCATCGAACACCTGTAGACTTTGTGTTAAGCACAATAGAGGACGGTAGACCTTGCTCCCAACCAGCGCAGGGCGCCCCATTATTAACTCTTAGTAGCGGCTAGGAGGTCAAAGGGAGATGAGAGCCCACAATTCAACAAGGAAAATAATACAAAAGCTTAAAACTGAAGACGAAGAAAACCAACAAGAGATGCCACCGATCATAAAAACATCTTACAATATAAAAGTAAATCAAGAAGGTAAGAATCGAGAAAGGGTGTTGTGGGCGTCTAGGTAGGAGAGGCAACACACCATGTTTCATCGCCATGGATAGGGTAGTGACGCCATGAAGCTTAGTAACGTGGAAAGTAACTCGTCTTCAAGGATCTCATCTTCTAACCGGTAACACATCTAATAAGATACATAATGTCTTGGTAAGTAATGTACGTTTATGTGCATAACTTTTTCCGAAAACATGTAAATATTAATGAAAAAAACGATGTTCAAACTTACTTCAATTTTCCTGGCCTCCTTAAGTTGGAATGAAACCTCAACAATCGAAGGTCGTTTTTCCCGAGTTTTTTGCAAGCATTGATAAGCAATAGATGAAAACTTGAGCAACGTATTTGGATTGGTATCTTTCCTTATTCTGTGATCAATTATTTTTTCTAGGTCTCCGTTTTTGTAGCAGGTTCGGGCCAAATGATGGAGGAATCGTCGCTCATCGTTGTAATTGAAATCACACGCCAGCCTTCCACACAAAACTTCAAATAAAACCACACCGAACGAATAAACATCTGATTCTTTTGTTAGGAATCCTGTTTTTTCATATTGTGGGTCACAATAACCATGTGTGCCAGCAAGGTTAGTGATCACAAAGGTGTTCTTTTGATTTGCTAGACCTATCCTTGACAACCCAAAATCAGCAAGTTTTGCATTCCAATTCTCATCTAACAAAACATTGGCACTTTTTATATCACGATGTATTATTCTATGTTTTTCTGCAACGTGATTATGAAGATAGTCCAATGCGGAAGCAACACCAATGCATATTTTGAGGAGTTGTGGCCATGATGGTCCACCCGATTTAGCAGTGTCACGTAAATATTTGTCGAGGCTTCCATTGCTTTCGTATTCATAGACCAGAATCATCTCCTTGTTCTCATCACAAAACCCTATAAGTCTTACAATGTTCTTGTGTTGATACTGTGAAAGCATTGCCACCTCAGTGTGGAACTCCTTGTTACCTTGAAACCCAGTGACATCTAACCGTTTTACAGCAACCAACTCGTTTACATGACCCGCCCACGAGAGGACTCCCCAGTAGACCCTTCCGTATCCACCCTTCCCGATGAACCTTCTTTCGTTGAAGTCTAGAGTAGATTTTTTTATGACATGAAAGGGGATTTTGAGGTCATTTATCTGCTTCATCTGGGATATGATTTGGACTATTTAGAAGTTATAGTCAAATCAATCTCTTCAAGGAAGAAAAATATGCAGCATTTACCTCTGTATCAACTGTATTGTTTATCCGCTTCTTCGCTGCATAGTTTAAACACATCAAAAAAAATGAAACCAAATCAACGCAATAAACACAACCACGCATTTCCTACAAACCTTGAAGAACTGCCCCACAGCCTCCACATTTGTAGACTGGAACATCTGGCGACTCCCGCAGAACTTTTTGGCACCCTGGGCAACGAACTAACCGGCGATTACTGCTCATCTTGTCACTTTTCAAAACCCTGACACTTTTTTACGTAACATTTAGGAATATTAATAGAATTAAGAAAATTACCGATTATCAGATGCTGAAATTTTTGACTTTATATCAGACGCATATTTTAGACGAAAAAACTAAAGAAAATCTTACAAATAAACCTGAATCCTTTTCAATCAAAATTTGACTTTTTTGTTTCTGGATAAGGAGTGATGAACATGGAGATTAATCAAGAACTAGCAAGCTAATTCTCAAGCTGTTGAAGGAAATAGTATAATATGGGATAATTATGGACACTGAGTTTGGTTGGAACAAGCCAAAAATAGCGTAAAATATGCAAGAAGTTGAAAAAGTCAAGCATAAAACTTAATTTCTTTTAAAAAACCACCAGGAATCTTTTTCTTTATAGAATTAAAACATCATCATAGCACAACTACATCCTGTAAACCTCAAATTATTCAAAGCAGATGGGTAAAAACTGGGTATGGTTAAAGAAGAAAGAACTCGTGCAATTGAAGTCTTCTACTGACCCCAAAAGAACGGTAAAAATTCTGAACTCAATCGTAACAAACAGAACCCACTAAATAAGGATCACATATTATTACCCATTTTGTCAAAAGATCCAAAACCCATCACATCAAGAACTGGAAAGTGATGTTTAGGATTTTTTACACGTGTTTTGGGGGATAAATTGAGAGAAAGAGCATGGGAAATCACGTGGTCAAAGATCCAGAATTTTGAACAATGGATTCAAATCAAGAACTAGGTATCATTAAAATAGTATTGCAAGAAATTGGTGTTTCGTGAAACAAACAAAACATGAGACATTCTTGATTGGTCAAAGATCTTTGATGCAGAGATTCAAATCACTAGCTACGAATCTAGAAAATTGAAAATTCTGATTGTATTTGGTAAGGAAGAGGAGAAGAACCTGACATGATGTTGAGAAATGCTGTTGTTTACATGAACTCCATGGAGATTTGGAGAGGTCTGTATAGAAATTGAAATATTGGTTGGTAATGAAGAATACGAAGTAGGAAAACTATCTTCTAGTTAAAGCAACTGAAAAGTATCTTCTAGTTAAAGCAACTGAAAAGGTCTTGTGTTGACTAATAAAATTTAAAGTAAATTACATGAGTGGTTCCTTGGTATATTATAATTACAAAATTGCAAAAAATGGTCACTGTGGTATGTCAAAACTAACGTGTTTGGACCAAAAAAGTTTGTATTAGCCTCAGTGGTAAAAAAGTTGTATTTTCTTGCGAGTTTGGTCCAATTTGGTTTAAACTTTTTTGTAAAGACGATTTTTCCCTTATTATTTAATTTTTCATTTTTGTTTTATTAACAACAATTAAAAACATTTAAAAATAAAACAAAAATAAAATATCTCTCTCTCTCTCTCTCTCTCTCTCTCTCTCTCTCTCTCTCTCTCCTCCTCTTCTCTCTCTCTCTTCTCTCTCTCTCTCTCTCTCTCTCTCTCTCTCTCTCTCTCTCTCTCTCTCTCTCTCTCTCTCTCTCTCTCTCTCTCCTGTAAACATCAAGTAAACTCAACTCCATTTGAGAATGAGAAAGAGATGTGAAGACACATTCAAGTGAAGAAAGATCAAGAAGACTAGAAGGGCATGTCTTTTCTAGGTTTATGTGTGTGAATTGATGTGTGTATTTATATTTGATCTTTCTTGTGGTTATCGATCCAACACCACATCAACAGCCACTGCTACCTCAACCATAGAGCTCTCAAAGAAACAAGCCCCTAAGCGAACTTCAACCAAAGATCGTAAACCACCCACTTCGCCTCTACAAACCATACTTCGACGAACAAGAAAACAATCAATTCGTCTCTCTCATTCTCCGACGACCTCACAATTTAAAACCCTAGCGTTCATCAGAATGACGAAGGCGGTTGATTGCTAGGGTTTTCGGATACTGATTGCTAGGCGGCGGTTGGAGAAGCACTTTTGTTCTTGAAATTGTTTGGAAGGGAAAGAAGGTGTGGGCATCGGTTCTTATTTTGAAGGGTAAAGTTGTTTATGTGTAATGATGCAAGCATTAATGGGAGGCCTCATGTTTATAGAGGGATAAGCAAATCGGAAGTCAAGGTCATCGTCGTCGGCGTCAATGTCAGTTGCTCGAGAAGCCATGACCTGATCCTGAAGCTGAGACATGACCGGATACGAAGAAGCAGTGATGGTAATAATTTAGGTATGTATCGTGGAGGTATTTTTTCCCATTTGTTTTGTTTATTTACATGACCGGATATGAAGAAGTAGTGATGGTAGTGGGGGTGTTGATAGATTCACAGCTCCATTTGTATGGGTAAACCGGACTTGAGATCCGCCCCTGGTCCATTTGAGAAAAAGAGTTGATTGCATCGATTTGAGTGTGTTTTTTGGATATAATCCTTGATTCAAACATATTTTGTTCTTCAACGCACATACAGTTCTCTAAGGATGAATAGAATGATTTCGATTTTCATTTCTGGAACTCAAGAACAAACCCAAATATCTAGGGACAAACTCAAGAAGAAACCTATATTTTGTGTGTGATTTTCATTTTTGGAACGATTTCAAGGAGTATTCTTGAGTGTGTATGTGTTTATAAGAGATCATGTCTATGTGTTCTTGAGTGTGTGTGTATGTGTGTGTATTTTGAAGACAAAGCCATAAAAGTTAAAGTGTGTTTTTTTCATAACTATGTGTGTTCTTGAGTTTTGAAGAACAAGCCCAAAGAGAGAGAGAGAGAGAGAGAGAGAGAGAGAGAGAGAGAGGTAATTTAGTTTTGTTTATTTTAATTGTTTTTAAATTGTTGGTAATAAAACAAAAATGGAAAATTAAATAATAAGGGAAAAATCGTCTTTACAAAAAAAATTCAAACCAAATTGGACCAAATTTGCAAGAAAATGAAACTTTTGGACCATTGATGCTAGCACAAATCGTTTTGGCCCACCCATGCTAGTTTTGACATAGCACGGGGGTCATTCTTGCAATTTTTGTCTATTATAATTGGGTAAATTATATGGATGGTCCGCATGGTTTAGGGTAATCAGTGTGTTTGGTCCATTACAATTTTTTTAAACTGTTTTTATAATTTATATTTCTTATGTGCTTGGTCCCTGCCTAACATAAAAAGACCATTTTACCCTTATTATTATTTAAAAAAAATTATCCATTATATTTTATTTTATGTTAAAGAAAAAGTAAAACAAAATAATTCACCCACCCATCGACCTACCCTAAACTAATGTCTTCTATTAAGGATAAATATCATAAAAGCCACAACATTTTCATGCGTAATTGAGAAAAGTCCTATTATTTTTTTTATTGGCTCTAGCAACAAATGGGACGTAGAGTTATCATTCTAGCACATTTAACACGTTTCATGGTTAACTTCGTTATCTTTTATGTAAAATCAGTCCTAAAATTGGGCTTAAAGTTCAAATTTGGTACATGTAGTTTACAAAAAATTACACCACATGTCCAAAACTCAGTTTTATTTTTTGTAACTTTTTTATTGTCATTTATTATTTTTCGCATTTTTTTTGTTTTTTTGTTTTTTTATGTTTTTCGTATTTTTATATTTTTATTTTTATATATTTTGGTGGGTGTCTATATATATATTATATATATATATATATATATATTATATATTATATATATATATATATATATATATATATATATACACTTTATTTAGTTTCGTTTTTTATATACTATTTTATATTAATATATTTTACATTTTTCGTATTTTTTAGTTTTTTTCTTATTATTTTTTAATTTTTTCGTATTTTTAATTTGTTCATTTTTTCGTTTTATTTTTCTTGAATTTGATAACTTTTTCTTGACATTTTCAAAAATTATAAAATGTATTAATATATTATAGTATATTACAATTTTGGTGTTTCCATTTTTTTGGTTTTCTTGACCTTTTCTTACAATTTTTTCATATTTTTTTCTTATTTGTGAGTTATATTATAAAAATTTTAGCTTTTTTTTTCCTATTTCAATGATTATAAATGGTATATATCACATATTGTAACATTAATTCTCAAAAAACAAGTTGTTTGATTTTTTTATATTTTTTCATAACATAAATATAATAGCACTAAAGAACAAAAAAATATAAAGAAAAGAAGTTGGGCCGAAATTACAAATATAAATAAAACTTTTTTATTTACTAAAAAATTATAAAATAAATTACAAAACCATAAGCTACCAAAATTATAAAACAAAATAGAAAACCAAAAAAAAAAAACAAAACACCAAAATTATAATGTACTCTAATTTGTGAATACATTTTACACTTTTTAAAAAAGATCAAGAAAAAATTATCAAATTCATGAAAAATAAAACGAAAAAATTAAAAAACAAAAAAAAATCTAAAATAAATACGAAAAAACTAAAAAATCACGAAAAGTGTAAAATATATGAATATAAAATAGTATATAAAAACTAAAATAAAAAATTTGTGTGTGTGTGTGTGTGTGTGTATATATATATATATATATATATATATATATATATATATACACACGAAAAATATAAACATACAAAAAACGTAAAAAATACGAAAAATATTTAAAAAATGAAAAAAAATATAAAACCAAGTTTAGTTTTGACTAAAAAAATAAAATAAGTGAAAATAAAAAAGTTAAAAAGACAAAACCGAGTTTTGAACATATGGTGTAATTTTTTGCAAACTACAGAACCAAATTTGAACTTTAAACCTAATTTTAGGACTGATTTTGCGCAAAAGATAATGGAGTTAACCATGAAACTTGTTAAATGTGCTAGAGTGATAACTCGACGTCTCATTTGTGGCCAAAGCCAACAAAAAAAAAATAATAGGATTTTTCCAATTACGCGTGAAAATGTTGTGGATTATATGGTATTTGCCCTTTTATTAAATCTCTCTGTCTCTTCCCTATAACCCTAAATTACCTAAAACCATAACTAAAGAAGCTATATCCCTCCAATATCGATAGCCTTACCCTCGTCGACGACCCACCCGCGTAGACGATCTTACCATTCATCGGCGACCCTTATCTCCCTCCTCTCCATCTTCGAGAACTCCACATAACTCTGAAAAATCATCTTACCTACGAAAATATCATCGACGACGGGGCTGATACATGCGTTCACTAGAGCATCACAATGGGTAGTCGACCAGATGGACCAGAACGAACACAAGATCTATCCAAAAACGGTTCTTATGTGATCCCTTTTAGTTATTACAGGTTTCAGCCTCATTTAAGCATCACGATAGGGAGTCGACGGGAGTGAAAAATGACCGATTTCAAAATACACCAACTTTTAGATAAATTTATTGATTTTCGTTCTCTTAAAGTATGATCGGCATCTGTGATTTTGGTTTTCATTTTTCAGAAATCGATCAGTTTTTTTTTGCATTTTCAGAAATCAATCGATTTTGATCATCATTTGCGTTTCATATTTTGTTTCGCATTTGGGCAATGGTTGTGATAGGTTGGGTGGTGGTTGTGGAAAAGTCAAGAGAAGGTGGTGAGTTTTGTGTTGGTTCGTCGGAGTTGAAGTTGAAGTTGAGGGTGAGGCTGTGAGTTGGCGACTAGTGGGACCCATTCATATAATTTAGTCTTTAATAACAAATAAACAATAAAAATAAACTAAAAAAGAAAATAATAGTCTTTTTATGCCTATGAGGCACCAAACACATAATAAAACAAATTATAAAGACAGTCTGAGTTAAAAAAAATTAAGGGAACACGCAGATTACCCTAAACCACAGGGACCATCCGTGCAATTTGTCTTTTGCAAGTTTAGTTAAACATAATTTGAAATTTTGACTTTAAGTTCGATTTCTATTTTCGGATTGATCCCTCAGGTTAACTGCATTTGTTTTTGTCATTAAATATATTGCAAAAAGATTGTATTCCTCTTTTCTTATTAGCGAAAAGCAAAAGTAAATTAATAAATAAAAACTATTATATTTAGGATAATTTTACAGTTAACTTCTATCACTTTTATGAATCAAACAATAAAAATTTACAATTTTTTTCATTTTTTTTAGTGTTATTACAATGAATAATCTGACAACATGTCTTTCCCAATAGATTCTTCAAATCGGTCTTCTCTCCAACTCGGTACATGCTGGAAATTTAATGGGTGATTGCAAGTTGGAAATTTTCCAAGTATCCCACACTAGTGGGGGGAGGAACTAAAAGTGTGGTTATAAGTTAATGGGGTATGGGCACCGGTTTAATCAGAAACAGGTCGATTTAAGGAAATGATGTTGTAAGAACCCAAAAACAATGATAAAAATTTTTGTTTAAAAACCATAAGTTCCAATTATCAAATGTCTCAAAATCAATCACAATACATAATATCAAAACATCATTAACAAATAGCCAAAAGTGCAGAATCATGAGGGGGATATTGTGTCATCATGTCGGGCTCTTCCCTTTCATACCGGAAGTACCTGAAACCATAAACATAAACTGTAAGCATAAAGCTTAGTGAGTTTCCCAAATTGCCACATACAAAAAATACATTAGGCCTACCCTTGGGGTATATTCCAACCCAATATACACTTATGAGCCTAGCCCCGGGGTTTCTTTCAACCCATCACATACTCATGGGCCCAGCCGTGGGGTTTATTTCAACCCAGTCACATAATAATGGACCCAACCCTAGGGTTTATTTTAACCCAATCATATAAATATGTAAGAGTCCCCACAAACATCTAGCATCCTACATACACAAATTAGTGGGTTGGCATTGGTGCATTTGACCCACAAGCATAGTGAGAAGACTCGCCTCTAACTGAAGATAACCGA